GGCCCCGGGGGGGTTGGGGGCCGGGTGCAGCCCAGCAGCTACAGGCAGCTAGTGTCAGTCGCTCCTAGGGCTGCTGCAGCCAGGCCTGGGGTGATTGCCACGTCCCACGCCGCCCGGGGCTCCGCTTGTCCACACTTGCCCCAGTCCGTGCTAGAGCAGCCTACACCAGCTGCCTGCACCAGGACACAGAGGCTTGTGGCAGGAGTCTGGCAACACCCTAGAGGGGCTTTTACTTCCCCTCTCACAGATAAAATGAGATTATGTTAATATATTTAATTTTACCACTTTTAGCCTTGTGCAACCAGTTTTCAGTTATATCAGCGCAGCCCAGGAGCAGAGGTGCAGACAAGCGGAGCCGAGGTGTGGGAGGGGACAGGCAAAGCACTGTGCAGCCCAGTGCAGGCAGCTGGTGCCGGCTGCTCCCAGGGCCGCTGCAGCTGGAGCTGGGATGAGTGGGGCTGTGGCCCTTTCTCCTCCCCTCACAGACTTACCTGTTTGGGGCGCGGGGGGGTCTATGCCGATCGCGTAAGAGCAAATTTACCTTGCATATAACGAATTATCGATCTAAATGTGCTTATCTCATAAGAGTAAATTTGCATATAAAAAAACCTGCATAAATCAAGGGAAACCTGTACAGAGAAAGTGATACTTGCTTCTTTTTCTTCTTTTTGTAGTTGTTGAAAAGCTCCGAGAAATGATGGAAGAAGTTGAAAATGCAATAAATGCTTTTAAGGAAGAGCAGAGACAAATGTATGTTTCTACATGCTTCGTTTCATAAACAGCATGCTTTTACTAATTTTTAAAATTAGATTTTATTTAGGGCAAGATAAATGTCATACCTCTAAGTGTATGTGGTGATACTACACAATAGCCATATAATTAAAGGCATTTCAGTATGGCGTTCTAGATCATATTAATCTAATTTTTGAAGGCATGTCATTTTTCTTTTTTCATGTCTCTCTATGGCACCACAACAGGAAAGAATTACTGTTCTGAGTGCCCTAACTGTACGTGTTCCGCCTCTATTTCTTTTGATCCTTAACTCCGAATTTCAGGGGCTTATAGTGTTTCAGTAAAGCCCCTCCATAATGTATTTCATCCTAAGTTACTTATGTATCTGCATTCTCTTAAGTAGATTTTTGTCTGGGAATTAAGAACATCCAGAGATTATTTCCTGTGCATGGATGATGGGGTTTTTTTTATTTTAATTTTATCTTACCTTTTAGATATGAAGAACTTCTGAAGGAGGAGAAGATTGCTACTAACGAGCTCAGTGCATTAGAGAAAAAAATTGAGATGTGGGCACTGGGTAGCACAGCAGCAGAAAGAGTTTTCCAAATGCCATCAGGTAAGATTTCAATGGATAAAACGCTACAAAATCATCTGCCTGAAGAAGTAGTAGAATTTGAAAAATTTCTTCAGCAGTCAGGAGGACGACAAGGAGGCTGGGATGATTATGATCATCAACTCTTTTTGCAAATATGGACAAAACATAAAGGAAAGGCATCCTACATAGATGAAGTTCTTGAGTGTCTCACTGGAAGAACAAAAGAAGATATTCTACAGCATGAGGAATGGTATCGAGAATTCCAGATATTACAGGAAAGAAAAAAAGAGGTAAGAGAATTTTGAATATTTTTAAAAAATATTTTTAAATATGGTTTTGGCTTTTAAAAATACAGACCTACCTGCTTCTGTCTGCTTCCCTAGCTGTTACAGCAGATGCAGCATTTTTCCCACAGATGGTAAACAAAACAGGTTCTCTAGTACTTCACTCTGCAAATGCTGTTTTAAAGATGATTCTCTTGGCACATATTGTAGTGGTGTATGTATTGGCCAAACATATTTGTCACAGAGCACTTAGGTGCCCTGCTCCTATAAAGAGGGGGAACTGCTAGGGAAAGAGCCCTAGCAGTGAGTAAGGAGCCCAGCTGTGGGTCACCAGGGCAACTAGAGTTAGCTAGTGACCCACACCTGCCAGCAGTCAGCTGACAGGAAGGGGCAGGGCCTGGCTCCCATAGAAACCCTAGGGCTGAGGCCAGGATGGTAGTTCCCTGCTGGCAGCCAAGGGGGAAGGAGCTTTCCCAGAGCAAGCAAAGGGGAGAGGCCTGACTGCAGGTACAGCTGCTGACACTGGTGAGGGATGGAGCACCCCTGGGGTGGCTTGCATGATGTTGTTATAGCTGGGCAGCTTGAGTTTGTTATAGCCCAGGGGCTTGTGTTTTGTTTACTGTGTAAGACCGGTGGCTTGGGTGAGGCTATAAGGGGATGGAGGAGGCCTCATAGGGGACTCATGGTAGCGTGGGGACCCCAGCCCCAGAGAAGGGGGCAGCAATTGAGAAGCCCCAGGGAGTGGGCAGCATTGGGGGGGGTGTCGACCCTGAGTGCCAAAGAGGGTGCAGCGTTGGGGGTGTGCCGACCCCAAGCACCCAGTGAGGCACAGAGTGAGACAGGGCTGCGGAGGGCCCAGAGAGAACAAGGGGGCCAAATTATAACAAGGCCCAGACCGAACAATGTCAGTTCCATCTGTGAGGCTTGGGGCGTGGTGAAAGGGGTGGTTGGAGCCACGTATAGCCCATAAGGCTAGGGTGTCCCGAAACCCCCACTGTAGAACAGGACCCATTGGGGTCCGGGAGTCCATGGGGTCAGAATGTACAACAAACCGTGTCAAAGAGGGTGTAAAGGCAGCCTCCCAAATATATATATTTTCCATCAAAGACGTGGCGGACAAGAATCGAGGGTGCCCATTGGGCCAACTTGGCATGGTAAGGGGGCCTTGGGGAGATCACGGCCATCCTTGAATTGCCCGCCGGGTTGAATCCTCTGGGCAGACTGCGCGGACCCCACCCATTTACCTCTTAACGGTTTCACGCCCTCTTGAACTCTCTCTTCAAAGTTCTTTTCAACGATGCAAATTGGCTGGAGGGTCGCACCCAGAGAGTCATGGTGGATGGGTTGGTTTCGACCTGGAAGGGTGTGGGAAGTGGGGTCCCACAGGGTTCGGTCCTTGGACCGATACTCTTTAATGTCTTCATCAGTGACTTGGACGAGGGAGTGAAATGTACTCTGTCCAAGTTTGCAGATGACACAAAGCTATGGGGAGATGTGGACACACCGGAGGGCAGGGAACAGCTGCAAGCAGA